TATATATATTGATCAAGTTCAATATCTAACCTGAAGTTATAACATTACGGTCTAGATTACAAAATTTTCTTATGTCAATAAACAATCTATAGATCCTATCGCTAAAGCTTTAATTGCAAATAAATAAAATAATTAAAACCTTTAGTTATTAAACAACTACTCATATCAAACTAGAGATTGAGATTTAGATTGGAATTTAATTGATTAAAGAAAAAGAAAACCATTCTCATGTTTAATGAATTTTGTTCGATTTAGTCAAATTCCAATTTAATCTCAATGTCAATATCCAGTTTGATACGAACATAAAGGTAAGTAAAATTTCAGTAATAAACTGAAAAGAGAGAGTACACTTTGTTACTTAATATGCTGTATTGCGTATTTTGGCCTAGAAAATCTACATTCATTTCATTAGGACGTTAATGCATAAGAAAAAAGAAGACGTACGTCAAGCGTCAAAAAAAGTGATTTCATTATTAAATAATCGAGACGGATTGAAATAATTAAATAAAACCGTAACATACGCAAAACAATATACAATGACTAATGAAGACCAAGAACTTATTAGAATTTGAGATACTGTTAATCTGGCACAGTTTACGATCCGTGACGAGCTACAGTTGGAAAAGGAACTCGAACAATTACAGTAATGGACTTGATTAACACTGTCCACTCTGTTCAATGTATTCATTCTTTCTTTCAAATGTAGGTTGTTTGTCACAGTAGCCAGTTCCAAGTTCGCTACAATTCCGCATCATCCTAGTAAATTCCAACTGCAACGACATCGATTATTATACAAGTATTCATTATCCACTTCACTCTTTGTCATTTTAACGACATGCTATAAGTAATTATCAAGAAGAAAGCGTACATACAAAGACAAAGTTTTTTTTTGTCACGGTCTAATTACCGAATAGTATCGTCTCAACTATAATATTATCACTCCTCATAAAATAGCACACTTCCGCGAAGTTCACTTTTCCCATCTATCAGAAATTTGCAGTTTCAAATGTGCACTTTTGATAAAAATTTCTCCAAGTAATGTTGTCTGTTTTTTGGGCAATGTTCCTGTTAAACGGTTAATTAAAAATCTTAATCCATTCTTAACATCGTACATCGCTTAATTCTACGATATAAGTTAATTAGTAACATACAAGCTACACGTGTAAAAAGAATAATAATTAAATGATGATGGGCAAAGGCGATAAATAAATTTGTTTGAAAAGCTTTCTTCACTTGCTGTTACGACGTGTGATGTATTCTCGCCTTAGTTGTTACACCTCAGAGAGAACGTTATGAGCACGTAATCGTACGTGTGGTCACACGACCGTAAAGATATGGTAGTATTTTCCTTTACGAGCAAATGCGTTTCCCGGATGTAACCGTTGCTGTTCCCCGAAACAGGTGGTAATATAAGAGCGACGGAGAGAAAAAAAAACCTGTACAGTTAGGCGACCGAAAGAAAGGACGACGCAATAATGGACTGAGACTAATGGGATCGCTAAGTGAAAACATCAGAAATCTTAGTGACAATCCTTCCTGATGGACAGATACTTGAAAATGAACTTGAAAGTGAATTCGTAATAAAGAACGTTATTATTACACAATGCGACAAAGAAATAATCGTAGTTCTCTTTACGGAACAACAAAATAAAGGTCTTTTTTTAGGTCGATTCATTTGATTTGTTTCACAAATCACTAACTAATAACAATTATACACGACATGATAATGTAACGCAAAGAAATTTATGATAAAGGTATATTAAACACTGTTTTAATAAATTATATTTCTTAGTGTATTTATTTGGAAGAAATGCACAATATCGTATAATGTAATGTAAATTGATATATTAATATCAACAGAAAAAAATTTATATAACGTAATTATTGTATGTATTTAAAATAAATGGAAGTAATAAAATTAGCTTTGCATATCAAATTATCTGTTTGCATAATTGCATAATCGATGCATATAACGGAATATATAGAAATAGTATAACGGTAATATTTATACGCGACATTACGAAATAATGTTATCATAAAATAACCCATATTATAAAGTATCCTAAATTCTTAAGAATCTTACTTTTAAACAGGTATAAGATATTTCTTATATTTTAATGTAACTGTAATGAATAAATCGTTGAAAAGAATAAACTTAAATTTACGGAATAAACATCTAACTTTGGTCATTTTGTATACTATAGTGTATGTCTACAAATTCTCTTTTTATATTTTAAGATGCTACCAAGATAAACTATTTTGAGTCAAAAACAAAATTCTTCGTATTTTGTCTACTTTGACCCGAGTCATTATTTCCGTCGTAAACATTAACGACCTCTCTGATGACGTGCTGATCGTAAGGACTATAGTCCTGTAGCGGTCTGTAAGGTCGATGAGGAAAATGATGGTCGTAATGGGTGTATACACCTGCTGGTGTCTCGTGTCCATAAGCGTGGAAGCCATTGAACGCATTCGCCGAGTAAGGAGGTGCCGCAGGTGCCCCGGAAAAAAAGGTATTCCATCCTAAAAGACCAATCACAAACAGTGCTATCTTCACCAAGAAAAGGGCCTTCTTAGTCACGATCAACAGGAAACCAAACATAAGCGGGATTAGGGACGCCAGGTTGAATTTGAAACCCAACAGAAATGGCAGTAATACGTGTCTGGCCAACTGCCTTCCTGAAATGATACAATTTGACCTTGAATTTGATTACCAGTTCTCTCGTTGCCTTGACCGTGCTGCCTACTGGAGGACGTTCTTGAAACCGGTTGGAACACGTAACATCTTAGTCAGTACGAGAACCTGCGCGAGGTTTGTTTCCGCGCTAAGACGAACGTGAGTGATTCCATGTGTAACAAGCTACAATCTTTTGAAGTAAGCACTTTGTAATTCCGTCCTTTTACATAATCATCGTAATCGACGTATGTAATATCTCTCATATTATGTTACTTGTGTAATTTATAGTCAAAGAACACATGTGCATAATGAATAAATCAAATAAATATTTTAAAGAGAGCATCAATTAAAAGTTATCTTATATTTCAAAATTTTTTTTATATTTGCTGTTATGCAAAAATAGATAGATTTTACGGTAGAACAATGATCATATTAAATTTCAAAGGAATTTTTTATATTTAATATTCAGAAATTTTATGATAAAAGAGACGATAAAGCTTTTTAAAGATAGCAGAAGTCAGTAATGCGCGATTGATTTGGAATTATAGCCTACCTGTACCAGTTTGTCTATCGCTATACGAGGCAATTCTTTCATTAAGGACGAACTCCAATATTCCGTTTCCATTTAACATTGGTCCAATGTGCATCTGCAATCCCGGATATATGTTATCCAGATTCCATTTGACATTTCGGCGTTCCATCAATCTAGCAGCTGCCTTCACAACATTTCCGAAATCTTTCGGATCGTAATCCAGATCCAAAAGATCTCTGCCATAGCCCTCCGCTCTGTCCAGTCGCATCTTTCCAAATTCCAAGCTATCTTTATCGTTTAAAGACTGCAAAGTGCTTAAAATACCACGATTTACGCATTCGAATGTACCGTGTTCCTTCTTAGCGAGACATACACCTAAAGCTTCGTTGAAGTTGTGAGAATGTCCATCATCCAAAATGATGTGTTCCTTGGGTTCCATCATCACTGTAAAACTCGTAGACACGAGAACAAACAAACATAAAAGACAAAGTTCGCTTTTCATCTTCGAATCATCGACGTTCAATCAATTCTTCACGTAGTACAATGTAGTCAAATAAATTCAAACATTAGTAGATACTTGATAAGATTCGAAGTAAGTTAATGAACAAAATTATGCAAGATTTAAAAATGTTTTCACTCAACCGAATCTATTCTGAGATGGCACAAATTGTCCACTATAAGATAACAAATGCTTGAAAAACTTTGACTTTTGGGAACTTTTTTCACACACTTCTTTGAACTGTCATAGTTTTGTTTTTCTCGAATTTTTTCAAAATTGAAACGCGGAGAATTCGGTTGATATCGCACGGAGGAGATGTAGAGCAATGAAGTTCCCGTAAAGTACTGGTTATCCTGTACCTGCGATCACCCACCTATATAGACGACAAAGGGGCATTCACACACGACAGAACAATTGGTTTCACTCGGAAGATTTTACAAGTAGCGAAAGTATATCTTCGTTTGTATTTCATGCGCACGGCGCTTAGTCGATACACCGGATGCGCTGAGAAAGGTAATTTCCTTTAACCAAAGAATGGAGTGTCGGAGAGATCGTTATGTCGTCAGATTGATGGGACAGACATGACAGCTCAACAAGAAAAATTGGGGGCGCAAGTAGCGCGGATATAATTGCCAAATTTACGGAAACCTTTGAATCTGGAGCAAAAACAAGAACTAAAGATAAAAGATTTAATAAAACAAAGACAAAGACAGATTGAATTTAATTTTTGAACATATTTTGACATATTTTAAAATCTTTGTCTCGCTTTTCGTTTCGCGACATTATTTCTGTTAATTTTAAATGTTTTCCTATTTCAAAATTATTTCTTTTTTAATTTCGATATAAAATTAGGTAAATAAATTATCTATTTTATTGTTTATCGTTCATTATCATTATAGATGATTCTTCTTATATAAATATAGCTTTAGGCGAAATTCGTATTTTTATTACAAAGGATATTATTGTTATAAAGGATATTTACATGTTATATAAAAATAATCTGGAAAGAAATAAAATCAACTTTTAATATTATACAAAAATTACAATTTATTTATAAATAATATGATAAGTTACATGATAATCCCGAAACGGGGTAATCGATATATAAATAATCATTGGATTAAATCTGGTGGTCTCGTGCGAGTACTGACTACGAGCGGTTCCGATAGACACGGAGGACTCTGAAAGGATACTTCACGAGTATGATTAAGGGGGCGCGACTTCTATCATTCTGACAGGTTTCTACTATTTTGAGAGTCTTTTGAGATTCTCATAACTCTCTCGGAACATAGTCTCTTGTCAGTAAAATGAACTGTGAAAATGAACTTTGTCGTAAGACCGCCGGAATGTACATCAAACTTAAGTCCATAGCATTTGTAGCATCCCTATCGATTGTCGGCTGCAGCATCGTCGTTCGGAGTTGTCGAGTCACGTACCGTTAAATCCAGTCCACGCGAAATCCAGTAACCGTCCATGTCTAACAGTTATTTGCCTGTCCACGTAGAAGTGCGTTTAACGTAGTCGTTCGTAGTATTCGAGCTTGTCCGCGGATCCCTGAGAAGTTGAGCCACGCCACCCTCGGGTGATCACCGGATTAGAGGCGATCACTTTGGCGAATGAAAGTAGCAAATTAGAAGGGAAAAATGTTGTGCGTAACTTTGAACTATTCGGAAGGTTTGTACGCCTTGTACGCGAGATCAGAACCGGCCGCTGATCTCGCCCAGCCGTGATGTACATCGTGGTGTACATCGTGTCCATAGTCATGAACGGGATGAGCGACGACCTCGTAGCTCTGGCTCTTGTAAGCGAGCAATTTCTGCAGGCCAATGATCAAACTGATGATGAGGGCGATCTTGCCAATGATGAGGGCTTTGAAAGCTATCAAAGCCAAAGCACCAAGGGCGATAGGAATAAGGGCAGCAGCCTTCAGTTTCAGGAGAAGAAGGATGGGCAGCAGGGATTTGACAATCTTCTTCTTCTTGCCACGAGCTGCAACATAATTTTGGAACATAAGCTCTCCAATTTTTCCAATGAGTATGTAATTAATTTGGACATATCCAAATTTTTTTCATTTACATTTTCAATTTTTTAACATTACAAGCAATGTTATCGCTATAATTTTAAAGACGTTCTTTTTTTTAATTAAAAAAAAAAATTGATAAAATTTAATTTTACCTTCATCGAAAGAACGGGAAACATCTTCGGGAAGGCTCAACTCAACGGTGTGCGTAGATAAAAATTTGGCGGTTCTGTCGACAATGGCCTGATCAATTGCAGCTTCTTTGGCTTCGGTCTCAGCAGGTAATGTACTTTCGATATCATTAAGAGACCTTGCATTGTCAGCTCGGCTGTAAAAAAAATGTGCTCTTATCATGATCATTATATATCTGCCTAAATACTTTGAGATATTTTAAGTCCATTAAACAACTTTCTATGCTAATTTTACGGACAACCGGACATTTAAGTAGAATCAAGTGGCATATTGAAATTACATGTTTATTGACTACAACAGAAATTAAGTGAGAGTAAAGAATTAATTCTCCAGAGATGATAAATTTATGAATCTTTCTTCTCTCTTTTTTTCCTTTCAATATATGTATATACATATATTTTTATACATCTCTCTCTCTCTCTAATTCTAATTATACTGAAGGTAAATCTGAGTCTTAAAATTATCAAATTTACAAAGTAATTTACAAAGTAATCAAGCTAAAATTGATAATTAAACAGTGGTTATTTTCATATCTTATATCATATAAATAATTTTACGCACTTTAATTTAATAAAAAAATACGCTATCTTTTGGATATGACTTCACGCGTTCACTACACGAATCAGCCGCCGTGTTTCTCGCCGGCGTCTCAACTCTTCACTCGGTGTCGGCTAACATAATTTCGATGGTCAGTCACGTGAGATATACCGATCACTATCTCGAGCAAATCCTCGCTGTCCCTTACCTATTCTTGGCCTCTTCGGTTTGTACGATCTTGAATCCGTCAACAACGTCGATGTCGGCCGAGCGAGCGACGCGATCGACGTAACGTAGAGCCTTCAGTTTGAGACACACCGCGATGCTCGATTCCCCGGAACAGGAAGCGTACACGTCGAGGGCTTCCTCGAGGATCGAGGGTGGCGGCGCCGCCGCCGCCGCCGCCGCCGCGTCCTGCGATGCCGGTGCAGCGAGAGCGGACACCACGAAGAGTGCGCCAATTACCACGAATTTGAACATCTTGACGGATCTTCCGGACAGCAAGGAAACACCGAATCGAGATTAATTACTCCTCGAAACTTATTCTTCTTCCACTTCTTCTTCTCCTTCTCTTCCTCGCGCTTTCTCGTCCTTGCGATCTTGGACTCTCTTCTCTTTTGCACGTGACGCTCGAATGAGTACGGCGATCGTATCGACACTGCCCGAAAGAATCACGATTGCTGCCTTTTATCCTCGTCGCGAAAGGGGCCCGCGTACGTTTTTGAAATTTTGATAGCCCCCACCGGGTGGCCCCCGCCTGCCGGGTTACAACCCATACGAGCTATTGGTTCTCCTCCAGGCGGTCGTTCCGCTCGTCCGTGTCGTGTGCGTCTCTCGTTGATGCGCCTCCACACCGCTGGTCCTTCTCCACCGGCTCTCCTCTCCGTGCCTGTGCCCGTGTGTGTGCCTACTTACTTAGGTCGTTTGTGTACACAACGGGTGTGTTGGCTGCCGACAAACCCGCCCCGTGCGTGTGCGTAATGCACACACAAGCGCACATTCGCGAGAACGCGAGGGGAAGAGGACGAGGAAGAAAGGAGAGAGATAGACGGAACGAACGATGAGAGAAAGATGATGTGTACCTACGCACCACTCTTTCTCTGGACCACCGAGATCGGACCACGATCGAGTCGGGGGAGAGACGTTTCGGCTCGGGTCAAAGGCACCAAAAGTACCGATACCAACCGGTAGAAGGAATGCCGAAGGATGTCCTTTAGGTATTCCGATTAAAAAGAGGAGATAAGAAAACGGAGTTGTTCGACATCGTCGCGTTATCGTTCACCCGATGTGCCACTGATTACGATTCTTATTGATTTAACGATTTCGCGCTGGCCGCTATGCAAATAATCATGGAAATTTGCGCGAGACTACTCTCGCGAAAGATTTAGGTGTTACGTCCCATTTTTTTACCCGCTAAATGCACTGGTAGAAGATACAGCAGCTGCGATAGGAATTGCCTACTTGTCAGAACTTTCAAAGAGACACATGTGCAATGTGCTATGCATTAAAGATGAATTATCTGCGGTAGCATAAATTATTTGGCGTAGTCTTCTCTCCGGATGACTCTTGTGGAATGACTTGTCGAATTGAGTCACTTGTCATAATTAGTTTCTAGGACAGAATAAAGAGACTGTCCATATTTAATTTATTATCGAATTGCGTCTCTTTTATGACCGTGCGTTTCCAGTTTAAAAAAAACTTTAAAAAAGCGGTTTGTCTTGAAATCATTCAATTAGCATTATTTTTATTTCGAAAAATGTGACACCATTTGCAAAGGAGATCGCGTGGTGGCTAATAGAAAAGTGGCAGCTATATTTGACCAAGCACTCGGGATAAGTTGGCTTATGATTTCGCTTTCGTCAAGGTATATTACACTGGGTACTTCTATACTATATCAAGTAGATACTTCGCTCGCGTACGCCTCCACAACTTTCCAACGTGCTCATAATGTTATACGAGCCGATGATGATTAAACTTGCAATCGACACTACAAATCTCACGTCACGCGATTCATTAGCGCGATTCATGCGACCTAGAGTTGTAACATTTCTAATCACCTTCCTTGATCGCTAAAGCGACTTCGTCGCTTCTCGTTATTAGAGTCACACGTTTTAGAATAATACTTTTTTTAAGCCGCCATATTTATATTTCCTAATAACATGTCCCAATTTTTGTTTGATAACAGTTATTTCTGGATTATCTCGTGACTGCATTCCTATCGGACCTCTGCTCCGCTTGCCTCTCCTTATTTCTCTTTTTTTCTTTCTTTCGTCTGTCCGATTTGCTGATATTAATTCCACGAATTAAATACATAGGTTAAGGTCATCTTCTTTTGGACGGTCCCGATCAATACTACAACTCTAGTCAATGATCTTTGAAATTAATATATTCCAGTGGCTCTGTCGCGCGGAACATTTAACGGTTTTTCACATGGAATGTGCGTGCACGCATCATCATGCTTTGATCATGTGTGTGAGTTGGACCCAAGCCAGAGGCTTCCTCCAAGAGGACAAGTCGTGCCTCGCCCCGTCTCGCCATACCTCGTCCACCTCGTGTCCTCATCGTGACCCGAAGGTTTCTTGTCTAGAAAAAAAAAATGGAAAAAGGGAGGAGACATAGTAAATCAAAAGTATTTTATCTCTACCAGTGTATCCGTACGCGAGGGAAAGAACTCGAATGCGTGACTGACTTTCTCCGCGCTTCAAGTTCGAAGATGGTCAAACGAATCTCTGCATTACTTGATCCAATTCATATTCTCAAAAAAATCACAAAGTTAATCTTATCAAAGAATTGACTTGAAATGATATTTTAACACACAAAATATTTAACCAAGTAGTATTTTTCGAGAAAAATAGTGGAAAATAAACTCTACGATTGACGTAAAAAATATATTAAAAATATTAGAAAAATCAAAACTCTTTAAATACTTCTAAAGCATTTTTTTTGGTACATTTTTCTAAGATATTCGAGAAATTATTTGGATTTTGTATTTTAATACTTAAATTTTACTTAGGTAAACTACTAAGGTAAACATTTGATAAAAGCTACTGTAATATAAAATTATGTAAAATTATGTTAATTATTTTTATTCTCTCTTTTTTGTTTAAAGATACTATTGCTTTCTTTCTTTCTCTTCGTTAGCAGTATTAGCAATCTTCTCGAAGTGTATAATGTACAATGGGTCTCATGGAACTTTCACTTTGTTTCCGTAATTTTTTTCTCAGTATCTCACACGAGAAATATTTATCCCTCTTGCGCATTGCAGTATCGCAGACTAATGCCTCTTGTTTATGGACAACAAACTAATTCTTCCGCCGGAAACTTCCGCTGCCTTTTGGATTATACGTCTATATTATGTACAGTAAATTAACTTATACATAGTATCGCGAGCTAAAATGTTAATCCGGATGATACATCGAGCCGGGTGGTAGCCATGCGCACTCTTGGTGGTGGAACACTTTCCTCTCATCGACGCCGGCGAGAGTGAACTCGTCCGAGGATCGAGGTCAGGTCAAGGCCCCCACAAAGTGAAGCCTTCCTACAGAGAGAATTCTCGCTCTCCTGCTTGTTCTCATGCCTCGTCCTACGCTATCTTTCCATCTGATCGTTTGTGCGCTGACCGCTTCCTTGCCTTGCTACGAAGTGTTCAGACATTTGGAACAAAATAACGCGTTGAAAAAAAGAAAGAAAAATATTTTTTTTATGCGCGTGTGATTAAACTCATTTCTTCATGTATACATTTATCAATTATAAAGATTGTCGCTACGTATGTATCTCTTTTTATTTTTTAGGAATGATGCAAAATATAAATGAAACATATATGAAAGTACGTAATTTTGTGCAGCTATTATATATATATATATATATACGTTATACGTTGTTATGCGGGTTAAGTAAAACTATAACATCGATCCATCTTGCTTTTCTCCGTACCGTTGTGACCGCGAAGTGGGATATGGAAGAGAAAGAGAAAAAAAGATTCGCACCTTGCGCGAACTGGAAGCGCACGTGAATGAACGAAACGAAAGTTCTCACCTTTCTTTCTCACCTCTCTTTTTTTTCTCGTTTGCACTCGCAACTGTGATTCCGTTTGCATTTTGTCTAGAGATAAGCTTCTCTCTTTGCCTATGGTTCATTCAGAGCAAACAAGATAAGCCATAAAAAGAAGAATAGAACCGCATAGATGAATGAACATGAGGTAATCGTTGGAATTATACACCCGCCGAGATACAAAGGGAGGCGAACGGGAGATAAGAATGGTTAATAATCACCTCGTAATAACAGCGCGTGCGATACCGCAAATACGGGTATTCTCCGCACGCAGAATCTAAATTGTTTACGCGCCGCCGAAGAAAGTAGCGATATTAGTACTTTCACGAGAATAAATTTGTGCTTAATGTAAACTCAGTTAGCGCTAATTCCCGCGTATGGCCTACATCAGATCACTGTTCTACTCCGCTTCTCAGCCTATTTTACATCATCATTCGACAATGGCGATTACAATTTCTAGGAATATCACAATAGAGATAAATACTGAGATGAATGCTAAATCAACTATAATATTCTTGCTTTCTATCCTATATATAGAATATATAAACGCCGTAATCGAAATATATTCAATGGTGCATTAGTATTCGGGAAGATGAGGGAAAAAGATGAAGGATTCTGAATCCCGATCGAGGTGACTTTCAGAACTCGAACGTGGAAGGGCCCCGCCGGCGCAAGTATCAGGAACGGGACCACCTGACCAGAGATCTGTTCTTGAAAATCGACGAAACTTCGAGCTTGGGAGAAAGAGAGAGAGAGAGAGAGAGAGAGAGAGAGAGAGAGAGAGAGATATCGTCGATTGACGAGAACAGACATAGAGAGAAGGAGAGAAAATGAGACTTGGACTCGCGGAGTATCGGGGGGAGAATCGGGGGACCAAGCTTCGACTTTTTCTCCGGTATGGTAGAGAGTGTTAGGCGCACCTTGAAAAGACTCAGCGCGGATGCTGACTGGCCCGATCGGTCTTCTCGGCCTGGTTTACTTCCCGAGTGTGTGTCCACCGACTGGTCCCCGCATGTACGTCCTACGTACATACACGCAGATTCTCTTATAAGTGCGCGCGCGCGCGCGCGCGCGCGTACGTTTACACGCTCGAATACGCACGCGCGATCGTCAGACGGACGGAACGAGGGTCGAACAAGTGCGTAAGGCACTCGCGTGGACACGTCAGGTTTTATTCGAACGTTTCTCGTATGTAGGTAATGCCGCTCCTTCTCTCGCGTACCTATGTCCTATTCTGTTGCTCTCGCTATTTCCGACGATCTTTCTTCATTTTTCTCGGCGAAACAACCGGAGACTCGGAGACGTGTGTCCATTTAGTTTCCTGTATCGAGACGCTAAACTGTCATCCAAATAGGCAACTCATCGCGTATACCGGTCTATGCCTATAAAAGCCTTTCTCTGTCTCGCGTATCTCTCTGTCTCGGCGCTTTCCACCTCCGATTATTCGCCCACCCCTCCATCTTCCACCGCGTCTCCATTGAGATCTCTTACTTTCGATCGAGTCCCGAATCGATGGGCCATCAGTCGGTCAGGCTCCAATTCTTTTACACGCCTCATCCCCATCCTTTTCTCGCATCCATCTCACTCGTGCTTCTAGCGTACTTTTCTCTCTTCCGTTCGTTGCTCTCTCCTTGGCGTTCTACGATTTTAGCGTATCACCGACATCCGTTAGTTTCACCCGAATTTTAAGCATCTCACAATTGGCAAAGATACGAAGCCGGAATTCCAGCGCAGAAATTTCAGATTATAATTTTGGACTGTGCATACGTGTGTAGATTTCATTCATGGAATACAAGCATTCCTTAATGGGAAATGAAATGAGGAAACAAAATGAAAATTTTATCCGATAACTAAAATCTTAATTATTTATTTGCATATTTATAAATATACACATAATGTGTTCTGTGTGGAACGATGAGTATATCGCAGTTACGCGTGAAATAATAAATACCGAGGATAATTCGTGCGCGAGTGCGTCTCGTATGTGCGATGACCTAGAGTGAACACAACTGGAGAGAAGACAGTTAGAAGAGAGATCAGAGAGATATGAGAGTTTCGCGAACAGTTTGAGAAGAATTATTCGTAGGATGGAAATAAATAATGTTATGCGCAAAAAGAGGAGGATTTTTGTGAGAGGAGTGAACGGAGTGAGAGGAAAGAAGAATGTGACTGAAGAAGTGCTATGATAATGATCGTAAATTTTTTTCCTAGGTTGACGATGGTTTGTATGCAGAGTAGGCCATATCGTGTCCCGATCTCGCCCATCCTCCCGATCCGTGTCCTCCACCAACTTGAACGACTTCATGTCCATGCTCGTGGCCGCCGGATACAAGTTTCTTCAATCCGATGATAGAAGCGAGTACGAGCGCAAGTTTACTCACGATCAGTGCTTTGCCAGCCAGCAGCGCGAGAGCGCCGAGGGCCAAGGGCACTAATGTACCACCAATTAACAAGGGAATGGCGAGAAGACCACCCATTTTATTTTTTTCTTACGACCTAGAGAAGGCAACGTGTGATTATGATCTGATAATTATAATTATCTTTATATACTTAACACAAAAATTCAAGTTATTTATATTCTTTGTATATTAAGTTAACTACAAAACTTTAATATATATATCTATCTTGTAAATAATGCAAAAATATCTAATTAATTAATTAACTGAATTTTTTACATTTTAATATCGTTAAATTAAAATGCGTTAAATAATAACAGACTGTTAACAATTATATTCTTACCTTCTTCCGTGAAGCTACGTTGAAATTCCTCTACATTTGGTAACTTCAATTTCAAAGTATGACTTTGAAAGAATTTGGCAATCTTGGCAAAGATCATACCGTTAAGTTCGTCTTCCTTGTCTTCCAGCGCTCGATACTGTAAACTGGCTTCAATTTCTTGTAGAGATTTTTTTGGTTCGGATTCGTTAGTAGCTGATTCATCTTGAACCAGAGTGACACCATCGGCCAAATTCAGCTGTGCACTTCGAGAAACCCTATCTATAGCCGTCAAAAGCTTGAATTTCAAGCAGGGACTCAATTCCGGACCGGAACATTCCTTATACATTTGATAGACAGCACGTAAGTCGTCGAATATACCATTGCTGTTGGATCTTGCCGTTTGTTGCTCATCGATGGAATTAGACGTAGGATTAGTTTCGGCAGATCTTGCGGAAACCGCCGTTAAAAATATAGCCAAACATACGTAATACTGCGTGAATCGTTCCATTTTTTTCTGAAGTAAATATCTGTAAAAAAAATCAATTTTTTTTATAATTTACTTGCTAAATAATTGATGCATTAAAAATCTGATTTTGAGATTCAATAATATAAAATCAAGATAACAGAGAAAAATCAAGATAAGATAGATAATAAATTGATCATGTAAGCTAGTTAATAAAAATTAATTAATAAAAAATAAATCAATTCTTCATATCATAAATAAATCAATTTTATAATCATAAACAATTTTTTAAATAATTTTAGAAAAAATCCAATTATGAAAAATATTTGGCTGCATATTTAATTATAAAAATTATATTTGATAAGTTTAAAAAATATAAATTTTTCAAATAATTAAAAATACTTTGTAATACAACTTTCTTAAGCATAATTTGTATTTAAAGAAAATTTTTCGATTCAAACACCCTTTAAGCATTATTTATCTAAATCAAGTAGAATATACTTTTATATAAATTTGTGTACGTGTTTCTCATATATATATATATCACAAAATATTTGCAAAATATTTCTAACTACACTTAACTCGCCGAGAGTTGAAATAAACCCCGATCAAACACCATACCTATCACGTGGCTCAATCCGAAAACCAACGTTTGTCTTGTCCTTCGCTTCTCTCACAGCTTCTATCCGGCTACGTCCACGCGGCTACCGATCCCCGATTAACACGATGCGTGCCACAGCAAGATGCGTGTATACCTGAGAGCACTCTAAGTAGACTGTACGTAACGGAAGCCCTGCCCTAGCTCTATATATCTAGCCAGTATACCTCCGTACCGAGCGATATTCTCCCCACCCGGTGTAGCCATCGGTGTACACCACCATAGCGCAACTATTTTCATACCCGGGCATTGATTTGAGAGCGGTTGCTTTTGCGCTTAGACCAACCACCCGGGAGACGAGAGTAGAGAGCAGAATTCCACCGGAACGCGCGTCATGATCTCTCTCTCTCTCTCTCTCTCTCTCTCTCTCTCTCTCT